CCAGCGCGTCCCGGCAGCCAAGGCGCTGGGCTGGGGGCAGCACCACCCCACTGCCGGCCTCGCTGCCGGGGGCGAGGACCGGGACAGCTTTGGCTCCCTCTCCCCCAGCCCCAGGCATGCTCCGGGGACCACCTCCCCGCTCCCCAGCTCCCAGCTGCTGCCAGCCACTGCTGGGGGTAACATCAGCACCTTTCAGGCCATCCCTAACCTCTCATGCCAGCCAGATTCCCCCACCCCTGCCTTTTCCCACTCAGGGATCCCCAAAAGTCTGCAGGAGGATTTTCAAGCTCACCCACTTACACGGCCACGCTGCTGCTTCATCTGCTTTGGAAGTTTTCTGGGCGTTTGCTCAGGCTACCTAGCATTCCTCCCACCTTAAAAATAGCATGGCTGATACGGCTGGGGAGGGAGGGCAGAGCCAGGCTCAGGACCGGGACCACAACTCACACCATTGCCACTGGACAGCATTCCCAAGGGGAAAGCTGGAGCCTCCCCACTCTCCAGCGGGCAGCAGCACCCTCGGCAGCACCCTGGGCGTGAAAGCATGCGATGCTCCTAAAGCACAGCAGGTAGAGAGGCACCCGGCGGAGGGCGGCAGGGAAGCCCAGTGCTTTGCAGGCTGAAGGGTCCACGTGGCCATAGATAAACCCGGACTGAGCACGAGGGTGCCACAGCTGGAATTTGAGGCCACATTACAGCTACAGCAGTGGCACCAGCCACGGGGGCTTCACAGAGCCTGAAAAGCCTCCTCCCGAGCAAAGCAACAGAGCAACCGAGCAGTACCTGTGTTTGCTGGCCCCTCAACGCGCTGGGGCTGTGCCCAGGCTCGGCTCAGGATCCAGCCTCTGCCTCTGCCCGGGATCCAGCCTCTGCCTCCGCTGCTCCTCCAGACCCACCCCCGGTGCACCGTTAGCAAAAGCAGCAGCAAGGCAGAGGCTCTTCTCTTATAGCCTGCCACTCCCTTCCTTAATTGATCCCCTGATTAGCTCATTAGGCACCCAGGCAGCTGTGCAGAGACCTGCTGCTCGCTTCCCAGCCCACCCTGGCAGGCAGCGGAGCTTTCCCGGGAGCGGCTGACTCCCCGGAGCTGCCGACGGGTGCTCCAGGACCAGCTAACCTGGCCGCTGGCTCCCAATCCATGTCAGGATTTCTCCTGGTACCTCCTGCCCACTCTGGGAAATTAAAGGCAAAGCAGAATGACTTTATGATTAAAGTGCTTCCAAAACCGGAATGGATACTGCAATTTAACACAGATGTACAAACAGACACGTTAGCTTCCCCAGGAAAGGCCAGGCTAGTTTTCAGGACAAATAGCTTGGCTCACGTGTTCCCTGGAAATGCGTTCCACCACAGCGGGGCCGCTACGCGCAGCTCAGAGGCTTTTAAGAGTGTTCATCACTCAGAGACGCTCCCAGCTCCTGCACGTGACGGCACTACCCCTGGAAGGCTCGGCTGAGCCGGTCCCTCTCCCCCTTCGGACAGAACGCAGACCGAAACGGGCACCTGGCCTCTTACACATACAAAGAAATAAATCATAAATCAAGAGGAGCGTTGGGGTTTTATTAGCACAAACACCTTCTTGCCGACCAGACAGCCCATGTCCCTGAATGCTAAAAAAGGGCAGGAATGGGCTCTGGCCTCCTGCGGCGTAAGCGCGCCCGCGCACAGCGCCG